CCTCTGATTTACTTGCTCCTGGCCAGTGCTCTTGTTCCCTGTCCTTGTGCCCAGAAACAGTTTCAGGGGGTTGCTTTGGAAATAGGGTTTTATGAAGTCCCACTGTTGAAAATAGCAGGAATGTTTCATGGAGGTAGAACTGCCCACCGAGCAGCCATAAGGAGCTCGTAAGGTGCTTCCTCCTTCAAAAGTGTTCTTGACTTTGCTTCACAGCAGCAGCACTTGTTTTTCAACCCTTGTTCTGCTTGTTCTTTGGGAATGAACAAGTCCTGGAGACTTTATTCTCCTGGGGATCCATTACCTGGTGATGCTGTTTTGCACTGGAGTGCTGCTCTTGATGCACATCACCCTATCACCCTCAGACAAGTGTGACATTGCTAAAATTTTTGTGTATTTTATAATGTCATTTTTTGTCAGTTTGTGGAGCACAGTCAGGAGCTGTTTCTCACCCTCAGTGTGGAACGACCTTGTATGAAATAGAAATCGTTTCCCTCCTGTTGTTACTCACAAAGTAACCTCCCCTTTGGGGATTTAATTTTTCAGTTCCCTTTCTCCAAAGCATCTATCCTTGGATGATTCCCATGGTCCTGATCTCGGTTGCTGTGTTTGCTCTAATTATTCTCACAGTTTATCTGTGGAAAATTAAAGGTACCATCCTGGGTTTGGGGGCTGGGGAGGGGACTGGGCAGCCATCCTACTCAGCCTCCTCTAATCCTGATGGGTGAGGGGGTGGAGAAACACCGGGATGGACCCAGAGACTTGTCCTGGTGTCTCAGGCCTGTGTTTGGTGCCAGGGAACTTAAAAACCCAGGGCCTTGACTTCTGTCAAGGAAAGAAAGCTTTCTTCTCCAACAAGAAGGCAAGGAAGCAAGTTGGCCTTAAAGCAGCATCAGCTGCTCCTCTGCCCCAGCACAGCAATGCAGCAATAATTTGCCTTGAGCTGCAGAGAATCCCTGGCAGTTCGGGGGTCCTGGCAGGGCCTCCTTTCCTTTTAAAGTTGCAGGAAGCTTTGGGGTAGCACATTCCATTGTGCAGGGGCCTGAGCTTTTCTGAGCACTGCAGAGCACAGGCACAGGGCCCTTAGGTAGCCCTGCAGGGGACATTTCAGCCCCTGCTCCTCCCTTGTGGCTGCAAAGCTGCCCCTTCCCCGCT